CTCCCTGCTCAGCGGGAGGCCTGCTTCTCCCTCTCCCACTCCCCCTGCTTGTGTTCCTGCTCTCGCTATCTCTCTGTCAAATAAATAAATAAAATTTAAAAAAAAAAAAAAAAGGATATGGATGAATCATGTTGACTCTTTTAAAAGATCAATTTTATTACTGACTTGAATGTATGGTATATGTTTATAGTTCTCATAGGACTACTGAATATGTCTCCAATCAGCTTTTCCTTCTTTTTCCTTCTCTATCCCACTGCCATATCCCTGGTTCTTACTTGGATTGTCTTTTGCCTGAACCACTGCAGTAACCTCTCATCCAATCCTTCCCATTCATAATTCTTCCAACCACTGTGGCCAAAATGATCTTTTGTGTTTCAAGTATATTTAAACAGCTTTTCTTCTTATTACAGAAGTAATACATGTTTGTTGCAGACATTTAAGAAAAGTCTATAATAGTACAAAAAGATCATGACTATTAACACTGTATTATATATACTTCCAGTCATATTCTATGAATAGACATACATCTTTAGATGAAAAGGATTATATCATACATACTTTGTATGCCCTACTTTTAAAAATTAGTGTTGTAGGGGCACTTGGGTGGCTCAGTCAGTTAAGCGTCTGCCTTCGGCTCAGGTCATGATCTCAGGGTCCTGGGACTGAGTCCCACGTCAGGCTCTCTGCTTAGCAAAGAGTCTGCTCCTCCTTATCCCTCTGCCCTCTACTATCCACCCCATGCCACCAGCTCGTGCTCATGCACACTCTCTCTCTCAAATAAATAAATGAAATCTTTTAAAAAAATTAGTACTGTACAAATAAAAATTAGTATTGTGTAATATATAATATAAAAATATAAATATAAAAGATATAAAAATATTTTAAAGTATGCTATAATAATCACCTTCATACATGTATTTTGTTCATATTCATAATTATTTCTTTAGGAGTGGAATTGCTGGGTGAATGGGTAATGCATACTTTAAGACTTCGAACCTGTTGCCAAATACTCCCTGGAAAGGTTTCATCCATTTATTATACTTCTGCCACTAGAGAGATCATTTTAATCTAGAAACCAGATTGTTACTCAAAGACTTGGAAGAATTTACAGTTTCAAGAACATAAGACCAGAGAAGGCCAGAAGTAAGGCTGTCATAGTCATTTAGGCCAGCATGTTTCCAGGTATGGTTGTGGCCCCATGGAGTCTTTCCTAATGAACCAGGAAAAGAGATCAAAGTATGCAAGTTCTTTCTGCAAGTCTTAGAGTAAATGCCATGCAAAGCCAGGGACTTTCATTTTTACATATGACTAAGTACTTAATAGCTTCCTTCGTTAATTATTAAGAGGGATTAAATTTTTATTTTCACCAAAAAGAAAAAAGAAAACCAATGTGCGATCCTGCCAATTATTGAAAACTTTGGCTGCCACAGAAAAGTTAGCAATGATATAAATTTCCTGCTGCACATGTGACAACATAGATTGCTGGAATTTCCACAGTTCTCAAGAAAGACCCTTTTTTGTTTTGGGGCGTGGGGGGACTCTATAGTGCCTTGAGTTTCAAATAGAGCACTTCTTGTATGTGTTATTTCACATCTCAAATATCATTGTCTTTCTGTTCTTGATCATTTTGTTCAGGCATAAACATTATGACGCTGATGTTCTGGGTTGCCATTTTGCTCCTCTATAATTTATCATCAAATTCTTTTCCCACCAAAAGTATAAAGGATGGGTTTGGTGTATTGTGGGGTCTCATGTACCAATTAAGTTAGCATGTTTGAGAACTGATGGTCTGAATGGCTCAAAATCTCTTGTCCCTGACTCTGGGTTGGTTTACTAAGTTGGTTAACTAGTAAAGAGGCCTGGTAACTTATTGTCTACACAATGATCAAATGTTTGAAGGAAAGAAAGAAAAACAGAGTGGCTGAAGGCAGTTTTGAGAGAGCGTGACAGGAGGCTCACAGACTCACGCATTCTCCTCCCAACTCTGTTTTTAAAACACTGATCTTATGTGACAGAAGAATATATGCAGAAACACATATTATCTGACTATATAACAGGATTCTATTAAACATTAGCAAGGCCAAGAAGTCTGAGCTACCTACTAGCATAGTGGAAACCTAAACAAGGCTGTGTTGCGAACTGCATCAATACTGTTTTGTACTCCGCCCAAGCCACCCAGCCACTGGCCTGCAGATTTGTGAAACTCCTGATTGGAATCTAAAAGACCACCAGGAAAGAGGAGAAAGTGATCTTCCTACAAGAGAGACTATCCTCGGTAATGCAGACATCGCTATAATTGGTTCTGGTTATAGGTCCAAAGTTTTTTTATTTTCTCATCTAGCCCTGGGAAGTCATGATTTTAAAACGCATGGGATTTACCTTGACAAACAGCTTATGAGAGAATATGGGAATCTGATTTCCGCCAGTCCAGCTTGCGTTTCAACGGGGATTCCGTAATGTTACCAGCCTGAGAAAGGACTGATCCACTATGTGGTAGTTCATTTCCATTCCCTTATGGAGAAAAAGGAGAAGAGAAAATTAGCTAAGTCAGTTCTACTTGATTCTCGTCACATTCCTATTGCCAAGAGCAACAGGCACTAGGAATACCCACACGCTCAGAGACATGTACAGGCATTTGTTTGGCTATTACTTAATACACTTGCTCTTTTCCATAACCGAGGCCCCTGGTTAAAATATTGAGTAATACCAAAACTGGGCTCGCCTCAGTAGCAGACTTTTATGTGTAATCCTAGGTCAGCTGTGAATCACAAATAATTCTATTTCACCCAAGACAAAGTTCCAAAACCTTTTCTCTGCACATCCTCTGAATGAAGGCGAAACATCTATGAGGTCCCAGGCAGGCCACAAGTAAAGGTACGAGAGAAGATGCAATGACAGAAAAAGAAAGACAAGAAGAAAGGGACAAAGTGGAAAGAAAAAAAGGAGAAAGACTAAAAATAATAAAACACTTTTAAAAATGAATGTAAATGACCGCATTTATAGCAGTACAGAACTGTCATAGGTTATATGTATTGAGCATCACCTACTCTACATCAGACACTGTTCTCAGGGCTTTCACATGCATTATTTAATTCATTCAATACACATTTATTGCATGCCTTCTGTGTGCCAGGCATTGTTCTAAATAAAGAATGCTCTGTAAAGAACAAAATGGATAAAAATTTCCCCCTCCTCAGAGCTTACATTTTGGTAGGGAAGATCTTATTTATGATCTTATTTCCTTATGTCACAATAAGGAAAAGAGATAGGAAAGGCATGGTAAGAAGGCAAAGGATATGTACGGACAGAAAAAGAGAGGATTTAGGGAAGGAGAGAAAAAGGAGATAAAAGTTAAAGAATCATCCTCAGGGCTTTGAGATGCTGGATTAAAAGGATAAGTCTCTGCAATGGACTCTGAAAAACAAACTGAGGGTTCTAGAGGGGAGGGGGGTGGGAGGATGGGTTAGACTGGTGATGGGTATTAAAGAGGGCATGTACTGAATGGAGCACTGGGTGTTATACGCAAACAATGAATCATGGAACACTGCATCAAACACTAAAAATAAATAAATAAATAAAAATAAATAAAATTACAATTTTCCAATTAAAAAATCCTCAAATGTAAAGGCTTTGGAAGTTCCCACCGTAACCAATCTCATAAAAAGTCTGAATTGTAAATGTGTGAAGAAATATGCTTCTATATTATCTCAAATGTATATAGCAATTTGAAATGCTAACAAAGCCTCTCTGAGTGGATATCTAGCAATATTCTGGTTTAATAAAAAGAGGAGACATATTTGTAATAAGCAGTGTTCATCTGCACATATATCTCTTGTTTCTCCCAGCCTATTCCAGTGAAAGAGAAAAATCAGTGGCCTAAGAAAAGATAGGCCAGATATTTGGCTGAATCCCTCACCAGCACCAATTATAATACTAACAGATACTATTTACTGAGGACTTTCTTTTTTTTTTTTTTAAGGGTTTATTTATTTTTTTATTTGACAGAGAGAGAGAGAGCACAAATAAGGTGAGCAGGAGAAGGAGAAGCAGGCTTCCCGCTGAGCGGGGAGCCTGATGCGGGGCTAGATCCCAGGACCCTGGGATCATGACCTGAGCCTAAGGCAGACACTTAACTGACTGAGCCACCCAAGCACCCCTACTGAGGACTATTTGCTGCATAACAAACTATTCCAAAACTTAGTAGTTTAACAACAATAATTTATTTCTTTTAATTTTTTAAAAGATTTTATGTATTTATTTGAGAGAGAGAGCACACAAGCAGGGGGAGGGGCAAAGGCAGAGGGAGAAGCCGACTCCCCGCTGAGCAGGGAGCCCAATGAGGGGCTGGATCCCAGGACTCTGGGATCATGACCTGAGCTGAAGTCAGATGCTTAACCGACTGAGCCACCCAGGCGCCCCATCAATCATTTATTTCTCATAATTCTGTACGTTAGCCAGTCAGTTCTGATCTCACTTGGTACACTCATGTGGCCACATTCATATGGTGGGCTCAGGTGGGACACTGGCTCCCTGGTGCCTCTTTCTCCATGTGGTCTCTTACCATACAAAAGTTAGGCTGGGCTTCCTTACCCAGTGGCACAAATGATCCAAGAGAGCAAGACAGGCCTAAGACTTGGGCTTAGAACTAGCCAATAACACACCTGCCATATTCCCCTGGTCAAAGCAAGTCATAAGCTCAGCCCAAATTCTAGGGGAAGGGAAACAGATTCCACCTCTTGTTGAGAAGAGTAGCAGGACTTACAATTATGAAAATTGTTGGCAATCATCTTTGTAGGCAAGCTCTCTTATTTGCCACATGCCAGAAACCGTGTATTATCTCAATGAATCTTCAGAGAAACTTATGAAATAGTCTCCTTTATGTCCTTATTTTACAAGTAAGGAAAATTAGTTCCTGAAAAGTTAAATACCCTCCTGCAAGTAGGTGACGATCTAGGACCAGATCTAAACCACCTTCAGAGTTCTAATTCACAACCATCCCTCAATATAACATTCAGTAGAGTTAGAGGAGTTAAACCCCTTGTTCCCTCTCTCTGAGGGAAGCAGGAAATCATTGTAGTTAAGAGCTCAGATTCTGGGGTCACACTGCTTTGGTTCAAATCTTGGTTCTAAGGCTCATTAGTTCTGTGACTCTGGGCTAGTGACTTAGCCTCAAGTTCATCATCTGTAGAACAGGGCTGATAAAAATATCTACCCCCACAGGACTATTATGAAAGAGTGTTAATTACTTTTGTTGTTCCCTGAGTAGTTTACTCTAAATCAGGCAGTACTGCAGTCTCAAGACCACAGTCTCCAGAGCTGTTGCTGATCAATGATCCTGAGTCTCTGTGACTTGATCATCTTTATCCCTGCTGGCATGGCTTCTGATTCTGCTTTGCCTCTGGACCCGTGCTGCTGCAGCAGTGACCAGTACTGAGGGGGCCTGCCCCACGGTGGTCCCTCTCTGTTTATTTGTTGTACCTCCTGCTTCCTTTTGGAGCTGCCACTTCATGCTAGAGATCTGGTGACTGTCCATGTTGACCCACAACCGTTTGCCTTTGTCAGTGCTCCGTTAATTTTTCTGATGACACAAAAGGAGCAGCCTCTCCCATTAATACCTTGTTTTGCCTCTCTGACCATTTGCAAAAGGTTCACCAACACCTTTTTCTAACAAGGGAGGAGGAAATGCAAGTTTCTCTGGTTCAGGATCTTTGCTGGGTGTCTCCTGTACTAACTCAGTTTCCTTTTCTGTTGTCTGTGCTTTTAAAGAACTGCAGTGTTTCAGAATGAGTAACCACTAGGTGGCAGCGGTGTTTTGCTTCCCAGCTCATTACCGTCTCTCTTCCCCCCAACCCTTAAAATCTCAATTACAGCCAAGACACAGTTCCTTTCAAAGTGAATGACTTGCTTTTAGATCAATCAACTTACTTCTCCATATGAAGTTCAAGGTGAACAATAAATTTCATGTACATTTTCTTGAAAATTCACTGTGATGTCACTAATTCCATCAGAGAGTTCTCAAAGGAGTTATATTAATAAAGCAGTTTTATAACCTTTGGTTTGAAAGGGCATGGGAAAAGTAAATAAACCTCAGCTTATTTAGGGAACGGCCAAAGCTGATTGTTTTCCCCTCTGGTTGTTAACACCCAACAGGCCAAAGGTCTGTTGGGTTAACAGTTCATGGACTCCCAGGCTATCATTTTGTTAACAAGATTGTAGACACATCACGCATTTCCCAGTGAGGTCCCAAAAGGTTTTCTTGGGGAAGATGGAATTTCAGTAGTTTATTGAGTGAGAAGCAGGTGTAAGAACCTGCCTTCTTTCAATTACATCCCCACGGGAATCCAACCTGCCAAATGGAATCCTCTTTTAACAAACTAGATTGGGAAGCGCAAGACAGAAGAACAGGTAGAGAAAAGGCCAGGAGTGCCAACAAAACCGTCATCTTACAGTATGGGGGATCAAGAGATGCTGTCTATAGTTGATAAAAAAAAAAAAGATGTTTAATATATTACTTAAATTTACCTGGTAAATTTAAAGATTTTTTATTTATTTTTTTGACAGAGAGAGACATAGCGAGAGCAGGAACACAAGCAGGTGGAGTGGGAGAGGGAGAAGAAGGCTTCCCGCAGAGCAGGGAGCCCGATGTGGGACTCGATTCATGACCTGAGCCGAAGGCAGACGCTTAACGACTGAGCCACCCAGGCGCCCTACCTGGTAAATTTAACATAGAGGGACAAACTATATCAGGTTGTAACTTTACATTTATTTATTTAAAGTAATCTCTACACCCAATATGGGGCTTGAACTCACAACCCCAAGATCACACGCTCTTCTGACTGAGCCAGCCAGGCACTCAACATATTGGGTTGTAACTTTAATGGGAAGAGAAGGGAAGGGAAGTAGGATGGTGGGGATATTAATAGGCTAAGCCTCAAGTACCCTAACAGAGTCTGTAGATAATGACCAAAATTGAAAATGCAAGAAACAGCACTACAAGCAGGTTATTTAGAGACATGGAGGAAGTCACCATGTGAACTAAAGGAAGTAGTAGTTAATAATTCTTGTTTCTGTAAAAGAGCAAAGGAAGGGTCTAAGCTAGGGAGTGGCTGTACTATTTGACTTTCTAATCGTGACTTTGTTTTAGCCTTAAAAATAGGCAAGAATAGGGGCGCCTGGGTGGCTCAGTCATTAAGTGTCTGCCTTGGGCTCAGGTCATGATCCCAGGGTCTTGGGATCGAGCCCCACATCGGGCTCTCTGCTCGGCCGGGAGCCTGCTTCTCCCTCTCCCACTCCCCTTGCTTGTGTTCCCTCTCTCGCTGTGTCTCTCTCTGTCAAATAAATAAAATCTTTAAAAAAAAAAAATAGGCAAGAATAGACAACTCTTAGAGTAAAATAGATATCTGGGTTCAGGGGAACAACTAACACTGAATTCCTAATTTGTGTCACTATATCTGATGGAAATTGTAAAATTTAATCATTTGCTTATTTTCACAGAGGTCACTTTAGTTTAATATAACACTACTGGCAGAAAGAAATTAGAAGCTTCTATTTCCACATGTATATGTCACTTATCCAAAACTGGCATCTTGGAACAAGGACCCACATTAGTCAATATTTTTACAGCAGATACCAGGGGTTTTCTGACATAAGCCAAAATACCATTACTCTTTGCAATAAACCAGAACCAGAACTTTAAAGAGTGAATGTATCCATTTTTACTTTCTTCATAGCATTTTAGTGGAAGTTCTTCAGCATACATCCCTCAAACCTCCTGTTCTTTTTTTTTTTAATTTTATTTATTTGAGAGAGAGAATGAGATAAAGAGAGCATGGGGGGGGGAGGGTCAGAGGGAGAAGCAGACTCCCTGCTGAGCAGGGAGCCCGATGCGGGACTCAATCCTGAGACCCCAGGATCATGACCTGAGCCAAAGGCAGTCACCCAACCAACTGAGCCACCCAGGTGCCCCAACCTCCTGTTCTTTACCTTCTTTTCAAAACCACATCCAATCCAACAGCAATGACAAGTCATCGTTCAAAATATACCAGAATCTGACAATTCTCACCACACACATCCCTAATAGCCTAGTTTGAGCTGTCAGCATTTCTCATTCAGACCACTGAAATAGACTGGTAACTGCTTCCATCCTTGCCCATTCAGCAGCCAGAGTGATCCTTTTTGAATGTATGATAATTTGTAAAATATCGGCCTATATGATGTACCCACCCCATCTAATCCTCTCTCTCCCCCTCACTCACTCCTCCCCAGCCACACTGGCCTCCTGGATCTTCCCAGACCATTTGGAACATATTCCTGTCCTCCGCCTGGAATGCTCTTCTCCCAGATATCCAAATGTCTTGCTCTCTCATTTCCTTCAGGCTCTGCTTTGTCACTTCATCAAAGAGGCCTTTCCTAACCAACTGATATAAAATAAGCATTCCCCTCCTTCTCTCCAGTACTCTCCATCCCCCCAGCTTGCTTAGTTTTTCTCCATTATACTTATCATCTCAGGAATGTTACATGTTCCCTGTATTGTCTCTATTTTCCATTAGAATGTAAGTTTTAGAATAATTTCTCACTGCTGTATCCCTAGTGCCTACAAGAATGCCTAACATAATAAATGCTCAATAAATTCTGTCACTTTAATGACACCTACCATGATACCACAGGCAGATAATGTCTTAGAGCAATGTTCCCCCAAGTGTGAGATCTGTTTATGAGAAATTATTTTATTTTTTTAAGGCTTATTTATTTTTTAGAGAGAGGGAGAGCAGGAGAAGGAGCAGAGGGAGGAGAGGGAGAGAGAGAATCCCAAGCTGACTCCCCACAGAGTGAGGAGCCCCCCACGGGGTTTGATCTCAAGATCCTGTGATCATGACCTGAGCTGAAATCAAGAGTCAGATGCTTAACCAACTGAGCCACCCAGGTGCCCCAGAAATGATTTTAGATAGTATAAAGGTATGCATTAAATAACACTGAATCAGGTGGAGAGAATCTTTTCGATGTTTTAATCCCTCTCATTAGGTCAAAAAAGCCTCATATAGTGCTAGTTTGTCTCTAATATTTGATAATTTATCCTTTTAAAGAATAGAGAATGGCCCTTACATTTAAAGCCTAGTAAGAGCCTTTTGTAGGGAACAGTATCTGGCCAGGATTTTAATAACCTTGTTTTGTTTTCACTGTATTAATCTTAGGGGCATTGTCTACTTCAATTATGAGACGGGTAGCATGTTAATCTCATTTAAATCTTGCAACAATTCTTGAATATCATTTTGCATTAGAGGAAACTGCAGATGAGTTTCCCATGAGACCAAAGTTTCCTTTGAGATAAAATTCACATAAAATTCACCATTTTAAATATTTTAAACTGTACAATTCAGTTTCTTAGTATATTCACAATGTTGTACAACCATCATTACTATATAATTCCAGAACATTCTCATTTCCCCACTAAAAAAAAACCCTATACCCTTTGGCTATTACCCCCAATGTCCTCACTCTTTCTAGCCCTAAACAACCACTAATCTTTCTGTCTCTTTATATTTACTTATGCTGTAATTTCATACTAAGGGAATCATATATGTGGTCTTTTGGCACTGTTTTTTTCACACTTAGCATAATATTTTCAAGGTTTATCCATTTTGGAAGGCAGCTATGCTCACCACTATACCACCAACGCAGGTAAGGTTTATCCATTTTGTACCATGAATCAGGACAGTACTTCATTCCTTTTTGTGACTGAACTAATATTCCACTATATGGATATATAAATCACCTTTTTTAATTCGTTTGTCAGCTGATGAATATTTGAGTTGTTTCCACTTTGGGGCTATTACAAATAATGCTGTAGGCACATCATGTCCAAGTTTTTGTTTGAACATCTGTTTTTCAGTTCTCTTGGGTATATACCTAGGAGTAGAATTGCTGGGTCAAGTGGTAATTCTGTTCAACTTTTTGAGGAAAGGCCAAACTGTTTTCCAAAGTGGCTGTATCATTTTGCATTCCCACCAGCAACATGTAAGTGTTCCATTTCTCTATATACTTAGTGGAACTTGTAACTATTTGAAAAAAAATTTAGGGGCACCTGGGTGGCTCAGTCGTTAAGCGTCT